AAGGAAGATTCGGGTGAATCCAGTGCGTTGATAAATGGCAAAGGAACACGGGATCAGTGATTTTACGGCACGGAAGATCGAAAAGGAAGATTGCGGGGCGAAGTCGAGGGCACGGAAAAAAAACTCACATGATTACCAACCGCATCCGGGAGCTACGAGTCGAACGATGCAAGAAGCGAAAAAATCCGGCAATCCTGTTCACCGACGAGAGCATGTTTACCGTCGATCCCGTATCAAATTCCAAAACCGACCGGTATATTAGTTCTCTTCCGGTAAAAGACGTGGCCGACGAGCAGAAGAACGTGTATCTGACCAAGCATCCTGCTAGCGTTATGGTGTTTGGATTGGTGGCTTCGGATGGCAAAACAATGGTCCCGGTGTTTATTCCAGAAGGCGACAAGGTCAACACGGAGGTCTACATTGGGATTTTAAGTAAGTATGTTCTTCCGTGGATCAAAGAACAGTACGGTCCGAAGCCAAATGTTGTATTTCAACAAGATGTAGCTCCGTGCCACACCTCGAACCGCACTCAGAAGTGGTTGCAGGAACATCTTCCGTTCTGGGCGAAGGATATGTGCACAATACTGAAAAGTCATGTAAATTTCGGTTCCCTGAGACCGACACATGTAAGCGGGCCTTTTGACATAAAAATCAGTTGAAAGAAACGTGAAATTCAATTCAATCAAACGTTCTCTTCGTCGCTAGCTGATGTTTCGGTTTGAGAACACTTAATTTTACATGAAATGTTTGTTTATGTTCTATGATTTACGACCAAAATGATGAATTACGTCTCGTGTAAAAGTAGTTATCTTAATCCGCTGGATTACTCAATATGACGCGTCATGAAGGCCAAGGCCTGTTCTAAACGCCACCCGAGTACAGCAAGCATCAGACAAACATTGACCCGTACCTGGAGAGAAATGGATCCAGACTACATTATTAGAACCTGCCGTGCATTCCGGAAGCGTGTGGAGGCCGTAATTGCAGCAAGTGGAAACTCGATCGATGAATAACATGGTTTAAGACTCTGAGAAACATCCCCCCTTTGAATAAATAAAACGAGATGAGATTTTTTTTTAAATTTTGACATTGCTCAATGGTGCAAACATTATCACGCCTACGGTAGTTTGAATTTCCTTAAAGAATGGACCTTTGTGTGTTCATACCTGATGGTAGATTTTATTGAGCAAGCATCATTGTTGTGAAAACTGGGTTTACATCCACAAAAATACGTATTTTTTTTTATAGAAATTTGGTTTTCTTGACCAGCCAAGTTGGATTTTAGCAGGCTTCACACGTGATGGTAGATTTTTGTGAAGCCGGGTTGGATTTCGGTTCTATCGTTTGAAGATTGTGCTTGGATTTTATTGAATGGAACTTGCTGAATCCATACGTGAAGGACGAATCTGGTTAATATTCACAAAAGTGGGTATTTTCATTGAATTTTGATTTTTCTGTTTTTTCGAACTTAATTTTGGCTACTATCTTTAAAAAATAGGCTTGTTTTTTATAGACTAGAACATGCTGAATCCATACGTGAGGGATGAACCTCTCGATTTTTTGAGAAAACCGAGTTTAAATTCACAAAAGTACGTATTTTCTTAGAAATTTTGATTTTTCGTTCTGCAAAATTGAATTTTGGCTCCTTCCTTTGAATATTCGGCTTGGATTTTGTTGAATAGACCTTCCTGAATCCATAGGTCTAGCAAGATTTTTTGAAGCACGCACAATTGTTGAGCAAACTGGATTTAAATTCACAAAGTAGGTATTTTAATATCAATTTGAGTTTCCTGATTTGCCAGGTTATACAGTGATGGGAAAATATAAAAAATCAAATCGCACCAAAAATCAAAATCATGTTTGATTTTCGTAGACAAAAATCAACAAGCAAACAACTGCAATTGATATTGCAAGCTGTGATATCGCAGCTCGAAATATCAAGCTAACAAAATTCACCAGGTGCAAATCTCACCAAACTGTGGTGAGATTGAGTTTCATTATTTTTGCTTTACACCCGAATGCTTCCGAAACTTCCATTACGACTGGCAGTATTCACTTCGTGTATGCCATCGTGAAGAGAAAAAAGAGATAGCATTATTATACCTTCCCTTTCCAAGAAAACGAGATGCAACGGAATCATGTTTGCGTCGATTCAGCTTAAAGCTTCAACTTTACAATAGGCTCGCAATATCAAAAGAGCTTGTAAAATCAATATCAAGCAGGATATTTTGCTCCAATATCACGCGTGATATTGAGAGCGTATGAGAGCAAAAAATAATCAATTTGTTAAAGATTATGCCATCACTGTTGATATCCCGAGTGTTACACATAATAAAGGCAACATTTGTGGCTCCTGTCATGCATTAGCGTTAAAAATCACGCCTTCAAAGCGAAGGCTAAGATGTAATGTAATCGTTTAAAATATACGGTTTAGATGTGATGTAAAACGAATTTTGAATGTTTTATTTATGTTTGGTTTATTTTTTATCCCCCCCCCCCCCTCGACTAGTGCGAGCATCGAGTAACAAAAGAAAAACTTGTGATTTGTTCCGGCCTTATTTGGTAAAGATTAAATAACTAATAAATGGAAAGGATCTCGTCCGAATGATCTGTAGCTAGCCGACCTCCCTTCATAAGCTTTAAATCAATCGCTCTCGCAGCGGCACCACTGGTGTAGTGGTAAGCGTGATCACCTATCATTCCAGCAGGCCTGGGTTCAATCCCAGTCGGTGCCGCCGGGATGTTCTGAATTATAACATCTCTGATCAGGGAAGTAAAGCCGTTGGTCCCCGGTTCATGAGTTGATGGGTCGATAGGTAGGGTCCAAGTGTGGGAGCTACGTCCCTGGCGTCGGTAGCATTGGTGCTCAGCACGGAAAACAAGATCGACCGAAAACAATCAAGGAAAAAAACAATCGCTCTCGCAAGTTTACCGTTAAAAAAAAAGTAAGAGGTTGTATCCAAAACACGACCTTGGATTTGACGTAGGATTGCGTGCTCGGTATCAATATTCGGCGACTGTGTCAAAACGCACGTAATTTTTGTTTTATTCACAACATAATAAAAAATCAAAAATTGATAAAACGAATTTCTTGCTAAAATTTTCCATTCGCGAGATAATCACGATCAATCATATAAATTCGAGATTTTGTTTTGTTTTCTAGCGTCCTGAAGAAAACTTTACCTTAATTCAAAGTGTTTCTGGTTAATTGACAAGGTCATATGGTATTCGGTCATTGCGAGAATTTGTATGTACCACTTCAATACTGTTACGCATTTGACCACAAACGTTTGGTTGCTACATTTGGTACATTATCAAAGAGCGAGTGAACGTTCAATGAAAATTAACTCTTAAACAACTATAATTTATGGTGGTCCTGAAAAGGACAGCTTTGTCGTGTTGGTTGAGTAATGCTGCGCTATTAGGGTGTTCAACACGGATGAGGCTGGCGAGCTGTATGTTGTTTGGAACGAGGGTGACGCACTTGGCATAGATGGCCCACAGCGACTCACGAAAAGCTACTTAATCCAATCAGTAGCTGTGCGGCTTCTTCTTCCTTCTTCGGTGAATGGATGCTCATATGGACTGCAGCTCGCTGCTTGCGGGCAGGCTTTCGCTGTGTACTGGAGAACAATGTTCAACGCCACGCGCCGACAGCACTGCTTTTGCAGCTGCTGATGACGACCGACCGGACAGCACCGTTCGGCGAGGCCGGATGGAATTCGATTTTGAAATCTGTGTTAGAGATTTGTGTAATTTTCAATAGTGACCTATTGAGAATTGATAAAATGTTAATGTTAGCAGATTCATAGAAAAATTTCCAATCGATTGGAAATATACATACATTTTTGACGAAGACGTCATTTCGATTAGATTGTCGAGCCAAACAATCATATTTTTTCGATTTGACCTGGCACTGCTCACATGCACTGCTCACATGCACTGTGCAGTGGCAACGGCGATGGGAGCAGCTGGTTGGCCACCACAAGATAGCAGCGAATAAAGAAGGTGCTTCTTCTTTCTCCGGACAGGACGAGCAGCCCTGTGTTTGGGTTCAGCAGCAGAAGTTGCGGCAGCAGCGTCTGGCATACTGATGACAAGAACGATAAAGATGTCCGTACATTCAGTGCCCTCGAGGGAGTACTCTTAGAGTCGGTTATGCCATGTGAGTTTTCTGCGGTGAGACGTGCAGTAACATTTTCCCCGAAAAAAAAATCGGGGTTGCATACCCCACGTGCATCTCTAGACTGGCCCCCAGTTGGAGTAAATTGCAGCACGAAGCGGAAGAAGAAAATTTTTCAAACAATAAAAGAAAACGTTAGGACCGTCAGGACGGTGTAGGAAAAAGAAGAAGTAACAAAGTAACAAGTGTGAAGCGACAATGATGAGCTGTGTTTGGAGTGGAAACAAGGGCATGGTCGGAACATAAGCAGTGAAAGCGTCGTTAAAAGATGGAAACCAGGAAAATGAGGATTGGAGCATAAAAAGTGGTTAATCCGTTCTTTTTTTTTGCACATCCTATTAGGCGAGGGCCGGTTTTGTTCCATATGGGGTTTCTACTTTTTTTTAGGGAAAATGAAAGGATTACACTGTTATAATTAGGATAATGACTGGACGGATTAAGAATTAATGAAAGCATAAAGAATCATCCTTTTAAAATTGAAATTATTTTAAGAATGCTTCTCAAACATTTGACCAATAGCAATGTTCACGCCAGTAGGTACAGACTTTAATCTGACGGCACCTATCAATTTTAAAATACCTTCCGGTACACTGTTATGACGGAACAATCTAACTCTGAGGAAAATCGAATGCATTTCCGTTTTTCTGTCAAGTCATTTTCACTCCTCTCTCGCTCCATTCCTTGGAGTGTTTCGTTTTAATGATTTGATCAACACGTGAAACAATTCACTCTCACAGTGCTCCCATCCCAATCATCCGTCACTCGTACCAATGTATATATGCTATACGTTTTACACATTACACACGTTTGCCCGTACCTGAACCACTCGATATGAATTCCATCGTCGTCTCCTCCGGGGGTGCCGGAATTGCTGCTGCTGTTGCTACCATTTCCGCTGCCATGATTGGACGTGCTTCCCGTGTGACACTTTAGCACGACTGCACCGTTGCCTTTTTCCGATTCGTGCTTCACCAGTTGCACCACTGGACCGGAAGTACCTGCAGAGGGAGAGATAGAGAAAGGATATTACAACGACTGGCATCGATTGAGTTCGGAAAGAATGGATTTTTCAAATGGGTGCGATGGAATTCCATTCGCTTCAATTGCAGTTTCGGAATGAGAAATTTCACCCCCATTATCCGATTATACTTCAACCGGAGGAACTTCATCCTATGATGTGCGAAGATAACGTAATTCATCCGAATTGGGTTTATCATGGGGAAGAAAGTTCCTATATAATAGCCAATTGGCACACTTATCACTGCGGAACGAGTTCCGGTTGGACGTCGCTTTTTATGATCGTAATCATCGTTTATAGACAAAGTTTTCCCGATTTCAAGTTCCTCGGATTATGACGGGACAGGACGAAGGAAAAGCTAAACTTCTAAGCTAATAAAATCGTATTGACCATCAATTGAATCGAATTTCATTTTATCTCATTACACGTTCGCTCAATATTTTCCCCGGCTTCATCCAGCATGCGAGCAGGGGGGAGAAATCACAGACAAACAGACGTAGCTCTTTCTCCTCAATCGTCGAACACGCCTTTAACGTTCAATTTACGTCTGATTAGAATCACTTGACATTTCTATACATTCTATCGAACTTGTATGCAATGTTGTTTCAGACCAGACTATTTTTAAAGGTAACCTTTTTTTAAACAGCTACGTCTGTTTGGCTGTGGAGAAATGTCTGAGGAAAGCAATAAGCGCTTAAATCTGTCCCACCGCAACAACAACAGCTTCTTCGTCAGGCCATAACATTTTATGGCTTCGTGAAATTGGAATTCTGGCTTCTTATGGGATGTTGGTGTGGAAGAAGTTTATTAATCTTCACAGAGCTGTTGGGCTGTGCGTGGGCAGTGCTGCCAGCGCTATCATTAACCTCAAAGCACCCTTATATTTCTTTTGAATAACGATTGAAACGGACTTTCGGTCCAAGTTGCATTGAGAACCCTATTCAGATGTATATAATTCAGTTTATGCGCCTTCGAAGCAGGCAACATGTATTACAGTTGCTCGAATCAGTAGAGAATGATGATGGGTGCTAAAGGTCCGTTTAGACAATCTGATTTCTTAGTCTGATTTTGATCGCCACCACATATACCATATAGGGTTACGGTATGTAATGTGGGTCTAGTCCTTTCATTCGGCCTATCACGCAAATAAATAATTAATTAAGGAATATTACACAAAAAATAAGGAAAATATTGATCACTGATGGTTGATAAATGTGTACCACACACAAATCAATTTATATCACAACATTTCAATACATTTTCAGCTCTCGTAAGTAATAAAACTGGTTGAGAATATCACAATGTTCGGAGTTTTTAGCCGCCATGACTTATAAGGTTAAGATGGGAAGGTTGACTGACGATCATCAAATGGCCTGATTATGGCATTTATTGATTGGAATTACCTGATAATACACACTAGACGTAAAACTTACAGTTGCTGTTTGAATATTTTATGTTTATTTTAATTGTTTAACAACGTTTTCACAAGTAAAACATGGACCCAACTTTAGGGACACATTTCTTTTCTATGTTCCTAACTATGGCCCATGAAATTCATTTGACAGCATATAGCAATAAGAGTAACGTCAACAATGTTGTTTTGCATTTGGATGATAAGGAACGAACAGGAAGGGAGATTTTTTCTGCCAAACCTGTATAATGAACATCACAATGTTCTGATTTAGATATTCTGCGGTCAAAAGACGATAAGCGAAATTTTTAATTTTTAATTTTTAAATTGAGTGATTTAATGTAGTTTTCGTAAAATTTTCTCTAAGAAATGTTTTGAGGAATGAAGAGCATTAAGTTAACAGTGATAGTGATAAAAAAAAATACATCAGAAAACGTTACCAAGAGCGTTTTTTTGAGGATCAAACAAGATAGGACGAAGTTGCATCCATAAATAGACCCAATTTGGGGACAATAGACCCATATTACATACATTTCCCTCGTGAGTTATTGTCTTAAAAAAAGTAAGTTTTTCAACTTTTCGTGGTTTCTGATAGCAAACGACATGATAAGCATATCTAAGCATACCATTTAGCAGTAGAATATCGTTTGCAGGTAAATTCATTGATGAGTTATGATTAAAAACGTAATCGATGGCTGCATATTAGACCGAGGTTAGGGACGTATACCCTATAGATCTACATGATTCCTTGAGTTCTGTACATTCCTGTTATGAACTCAATTCTGCATATTTCTCTTAAGATTTTGTGGATTTCTCATTTCATGGCAGCTGGGTATTTTGAACCATTCCAATAGGCTTTCATGTCTGTCTTGGTGGAATTAAGTTCCACAATTGCTTTTGGTTTTCATGATACGACAGGATTTTCCATAATTTTTTTTCCAATCTGGGAGTAGCTCGTACTTCCAACTTTCCATCATCATTATCGTTTTATCCTCTTACCTCTTTTAATTTGCAGCCGAATCGGTGTCCGTCCACTGATCAATGAAAAAGAAAGAGCCAAGTGGACTCAAACGGGCAGCAACGGACCGTAGAAAGACGTGAAGATCTTAACGAACCCTACACTCTCCTCCGCATGTCGAAAGAAACACGACACGCCGACGGCCGGTTAGTGAAAAGGAGGAGTTCCCAGTGGAACACCGAGCCTAAAGAGCATTTATATGCTTCGCAGGTAACGTTTTAATGAGTAATGTACTTTTATTGCGTGTTGTTTTAGTTGATGTTCTTCCACACGTCGGACTTCTTCCCGCTTGCATCGCTTTCTCCCATCGAGAATACCACTTCACAATCAGCGCTCAATTTGCTCCGCGTGTGTAGGTATTTTACGATCCAAATGAACAGTTTGGAACAAAGTTCTGGCCCTAATCAATCTCGAGCGAGCGCCGTTCGTTAGGGGATCAATTTCCGATTTCACTTAGCGCTCAATTTCGTGTTCCTATGACGGTGGAAGGTTTCCAAACAATGGAACCTTCGACTTTTTCGTAATCAAGTTTCAGTGCTAACTAGATCCGCCGCCCGCGATGAGGGTGGTGCTCATTAAGGGCATGCTCACCTCGCATTCTGGAAACGACAACCGAAGGAAGCACGCCAAACTGTAAGGAAGCTTGTTTTCCCCCTCGGATTCCGTGATTGTGCTGGAAATGGGTTAATTACATACGTGAAGGAAAACTATCGTCGGTATTCATCCGGTCGTGCCGTCGACGTGCTCCAGGAAAAAAGTTTCCCGTAATACATTTGTTATACATTTTTTTGGAAATCCCGCAATCGTAGACAGATATTCTGTCGAATCTGTGGGGATGGACGCAATTAAAAAACATCTATTTCTAACAACAAAATGTGATGGAAAAGATCTATTCTAGCTAATTTTTGTTCCGACTGCTGTAGTTGTTGTTGTTCAGTTATGATTTTGGTTCAACCCACTCCGCCCAAAAAGCATGCTACACAACACTGAAAATGGAAAGGTAATAATAATTGCACGGATAAGAACAAGTTTAGCACCTCGAAAAGTTCTCCGCGTGTCTTTTGTTTTCGTTTTTGTTTTTCGCTTGGTCGACAAAATGAAGGGATAAAAATAAGGTGAGTCCGTGGTGGTGATAAATAGAGGCATTTTTCTTCTTTTTTCCGAGGAAAATGACCTAGGTGTCAAGAGCGGGTAATTTGGGATCCTTTTGTTTGTGTGAGGTTTAAAGATGATGTTACACTCAATTGTGTTATCATGCGATTTCCATTTTTTGACGTAGGACTACGTCTGTGATTTCTATATGGAGGTACACTTTGTGAAAACCGAAAATGGTACATGTAACAAAATTATGAAAGATTTTAAACGTTAATAACTCAGCTGCCCCTGGACCAATTTCAATAATTTTATCACCAATCGATGAGAAATATTCCTACACATTTGTTAATCTTTAGACTTTATCATTTTTCAAAATGTAACAATTGAAAAATGCACGAACGTGCAAATCTTGCTATGATAATTAAAATTATCACCGATTGCCTGTGAAAAGCGATTTCAGATTTCAAAGTTGAATTGCATCCGGTCTCACCAAAAGGTGTTTATTTAATCACCGCGTGGTGAGTGGTGGTGTTCTCCGGCGTTGAACATTTTTCTGCAGTACACAACGAAAAGCTGCAGCCCACATGAGCATCCATAGAAGGAGGAAGAAGCCGCACCGCTATTGATCGAAATCAGTAGCTCTTCGTGAGTTTCTGTGGGCCATCTATGTCAAGCGCGTCATACAAAAGAGTATAAAAAGAAGGAACCCCGCTCAAATTCCTATTCCTACACAAAACACAAGCTCCTGCTGCAGATAAGATTTATTATATATGGCCACGTAGTCCTACGTCGCCATTGCGTACAACCCCATAGGGCTGTCCCTTGTAGTTTTTTTTTTTAAATAAGTTGCATCAAATTTGGTTGCAATTTGAAACTACACGGTTAGTGTAGCATTGTAGAACTCTATGAACTGTTTAAAGTAATTAGGGGAAATAGTCGGCAAGGGGTATTCAAATCTGCACACCTAAATCTGTGCCGAGTGATTGAGCTGTGCCGAAAGCTCTGCCAAGCGTAATGCCGGCAAGGTGTCAATCAAGATGTCAATATTCCATGAGTTTGGCAACCCCGACAGCTATAACTTTTTTAATTGTGTTTACATTCTCAATTTCTCTGATGGATCATGACAAGCAATCAGCTTCTCATTAGAGCGTTAGCGGATTGCGAGGTGGAAGAGGGAGTGGAAGCCATCAAACTTGTACGGTGTTCAAGCAAACTCAGAGTTCCTTGATACGAGCTAGTGCAACAGAAGGATGATGACAGATTTATCTGTAAAATGACGGGGATGTGCTTGATGTCGGACTAGTGGATTAGAATAAAATGTAATTGCATTTCTAACAGTAATGATCCGTTCCTATAAATCCTATACTATTGCGCTAAGACAATCGTACACCGAGAGAAAATGGGAATAATGGGAAAATTTCCATACCGGGTATCCTCGGAAAGACCGGTTTTTGAA